CCTGATCCCGCGGGTTCGAGACCCACCTGGGCAACTTGGTGAGACCTCATCTCTACAATAAATCAAAAAAATTAGCCGGCTGTGGTAGCGCGCACCTGTAGTTCCAGCTACTTGGAAGGGTGAGGTGGAAGGATCGCCGGAGCCCAGCAGGTCGAGGCTGCGGTGACCTGGAGCGGCCACTGCACTCCAGTCTGGGTGACAGAGTGAGACCTCAACTCAAAAAAAAAAAAAAAAAAGAAGAAGAAATGCAACTTAGATTCATAATCACTTTTCACAAGCACAACATGAGGTATTTTCATACAGTTGAAGTCCATCCCATCCTAAAATAAATATCCTACTCTATATTCTTATGCCCCTTTAGCTATTATCGCACTTCCCATTCAAGCTCATTATACAAAACGAATGCATTATGCTATAGGTTCACTTATATTTCACTATAATCCGACTTCTGGCCCTACTTGGTAGAATTTTTGCTCATTCAAACCAAATCAAATCCAATGGTCAGTCCTGTTATCTTACTTGCTACCCCTGCACTTGTCTATGACTTTATTGTAGCATGTATTGCATGCCTGAGTTCCACTATTAATCTTTGTATCGCAGCTGGGCATGGTGGCTCACACCTGTGATCCCAGCACTGTGGGAAGGTGAGGCAGGATTGCTTGAGGCCAGGAGTTCAAGACTAGCCTGGGCAACATAGTGAGACCTCATCTCTACAAAAAACCCCAAAATTAACTGGGCATAGTGGCACACACCTGTAGTCCCACCTACTTGGGAGGCTTAGGCGGGAGAATCACCTGAGCCCAGGATATTGAGGTTGCAGTAAACCCTGATCGTGCCACTGCACTCCAGCCTTGGCAATAGAGACTACAACTAAAAAAATAATCTTTATATCTCAATACCAAATCACAATTATAGGCATAAAGTAGATACTAAACATTTGTAAATTCAACAAATGTTTACTGCACACTCCATCACGTCATGCAAGGTGCTGGGGACACAGAAAACATCTCCAACCTTAAGTTCACAATCTAGAAGCACAATGCCAGCACTCAATCCATGCTGAACCAACCCCATCTTCACAGATGTAGAAACAGCTAGTTAATCATGGAGCTGGGAACTCAAATGCAGGCTGTCAGTGTTTTTTCAACTTTACAATAAGGGCTCTTTGATAATAGCACTTACTATGCTCCCAGCAATGCTTATTTAATCCTCTCAACAGTCTTATGAGGAAGGCACTACCATCTGTTTTACAAACGAGGAAACAGGCACTGATAGATTAGATAATCTGTTCAAGGTCACTATCCAAAGCTATTTAAGGGCAGAACTGGGATTTCAACACCAGGCAGTGTGTCTTTTTACTGCACTGTACTGCCTTCTGGAAGTTTTCTTATATAAAGGGGGAAAGGGAAAATAGTTATTTGAAGACAACATCCCCTTAGGCAGGAAAAAGGTATAATTATGCTGTAGGAAAGTCACAGGAAATATATTTGGAAAAGTACACAGCAGCCACTGTCTAGACATCTTTGATTGCCTAAGCTGAGCATTCTGAAGTTCTCTAAAGCAGGGGCTTTCAACCATTGTTTCCTACAACCTATAGTAAGAAATAATCCTAAATTCCAACCCAGTATGTACAGATACACACACATTCTTTCTCATGTAATATATATATATACATGATTATATGTTTAAAACTAAAGTTTTCTAAAATAATACTTCCCATTCTATGTGGTGTGCATTCTGATAATTTTTATTCTACTTTTTTAAAAAAGACTGATTTAAACATCTAAATCGATTTCATGATCCACACTAATGGGTGTTTACCAACTATGAAAAACACTTTAGGTACTGTTTTCTGAAACAGGTAGTAGTGAGAGATAAAACCAATTATGTGCTTTGGAAGGATAAGATTAGACAGCAGCAAAAATGATTAGAAAAAAAACAGGTGGAAGAATGCAGTTATAATAGAGCAGAGTGGATGGGAGTGGAGAGCATTTCAGGAGCTTTTAAAAAAGGTATAATATTCTGAACTGATTGACCAGATATGCAGAGAAAGGGAGAGGGCAGAACCAAGGACAACACCGTGTTTCTAGCCCCTGTAGGTGGGCAGATGAAGTGCCTTTAAAAGGAATGGGGAAGTCAGGGAGAAGAGGCAAGCATATGTATAAGATTATCAGTTCTATTTTAGACAAAGGGGTTGGTGGGATTTGGAGAAAATTGGTCGTAGATCACCTGACTATAGCACAGTAGTTGGGACTAGAACTAAACAAAAACAGGTTTAACCTCAGAGAGGGTGGTTCATGAAAATGAGATACCCCAGAAAAAAACAGAAGAAAAAGGATGAAGGTAATACTCCTATATGGTTAAGAAAAGCAAAAGGACCCAAGAAGGAAAGAGAGGATGATTTAAGAGTGGCAGATGCTACTAGATACAAAGATGAGGTCTGAGAAACAGCATGCTGTTTGTCAGTGTTCTTTTGCACCGGATTTGGTAAATAAGTGATAACTTGAGTGAGTGGTGGCATAAGCCAAATTCAGAAGCGTTAAGCAGTGAGTGATAGTAAGAAAGCAAAATAAATTCAAGTCTGTCCAGACACCACCTCCCCATCTTGTCTTGCCCCAGAAGCAAATATTGTAGCCGCAGAGCTTTTCCCTTTCTCCTCGACACCGCCCCGCAACGTGACCCTCCAGATAGTGATCTGAATGGATTAAATCAAGCTCTTCCTTCTTAGCTACGTGTCGTAGTCCTGGCTAAAGTCAGCTTCTTGGTCTCTTTGGTGCCGTCAGCGCCGAGTAGCAGCGCCTGGCTTGTCCCCGCTGCTCGCTCCGTCCCTGGCCTTGATGTGGGAGGTGAAGGCAGTGAGCATTTCCAGAGCGGTGAGGTGGGCACCGCGCATTATCAGGCGATGCCCGTCTCCTGGGGAGGAAACAAATGAATCAGGCACGGGAGTCGGGGGCGCGGTAAAGCAGGGCGGGGGCCGAGGGGCGCGCTGGCTGTTTACTGCCCCCTCCCACCCGTCTTCCGACCCAAGCCCACCGAACAGCACATCCACGCAGGGCTCGGAACCGTCGTGCCTCACGTCCGCAATCACTGAGCAGTTGAGATTGGTGGAGCGGACCTTCTCGCTGCTCACCGCCTGGAGGAAAGTTCTACGGTGCGAAAAATGGCGTGAGCTTCGGGGCCGAGGGGCTAAAGTCCCGACGGAAAGAAGGCACGCCGCTTCTCGCCGCCACCCTCCTCCCGCTTGTACCTTGTCGATTCCACATTCTTCTCGAAGGGGCAGAACTGAACCCGAACCTGCTTGACAGATCGGAGCCCAAGCCGAGCCAAGGCGGCCGCCATGATGACCTCCACCCCGGAAGGACTTGCGGACGGAACTGTCGGCTGTGCGAGAAGCTGTGATTGGTCGGGCTTCCGCAGCCTGCCAGCCGCTGTGGGGTAGCGACTTCCAGCTGCCGGGCGCGGAGGCGGCCTCGAAACTGCTGCCCAGACCTCCCAGCACAAGGAGGAGGAAGTCAGGGAGAGAGAGAGGTGGTTTCGGCTCAACGCATGTAGGGACTACAGTAAGCGGTCAGCGAATATTACCTGTCATGAATAGTCCTTTTGGACCACGGTGAAGGCCATACATAAATAGCGCAAAAAACCCCTTGGCACGAAAATACCGTTTTCTGCAGCCTTTCCCCTTTCTGTATCCTCCTGTGCCAGATATAGGTTAACACCATCTTAAGTCTTGGCCCCTTTCAAGGAGAGAGCACTACCACAGCAGGGATTATCCACCGATCGGGAGGTAAATCCCATTCAGGTACCAAAGCTTAAACATGAAGGTCCGACAGCCCAATATGGCTCAAAGTAGTAATGGGAGGGGGGTACAGGGGAATACAGCCCTCGAGACTGATCCAGATGTAGAAATGCCTATTCTATCTCTGGTTCCACGAATTAACTGTTTTTAGCCTGACTCCTGGGACTTAAGTGGAAATGGCATCTAGTCTCTCGTCTTCTCTTGCTTTTCCCTTCCCCCATCCCCTGAGATTAAACTCCCTAGTCCTTCCTTCAACTTCTATCCCCGGAACTCTTCACTGTTGGGGAAATAGGCTTGAGCCTCCCAAGGATGCTGACCTTCAAGTTCCAGCGAGTGGTTTTACTCTTTACCAGGCTGGAGTGATCTTGGATTCTTTAAATCCAGGCTCTGTAACTTGTGATTCTCAGCTATGCTTTCTTCCAAACTCCAATTCTAGGCTTCTTTAATAGCTTTTCCAAATGTGTTTTCCAGCCATAGATGGGGAGCTCTGATTTCTGGCTTCTGGTCCCAGGTTCCTTAGGATTCAGGACTGGTTCCCCAGGCAGGAAAGAAAAGGCAAGTGCCAACGGGGACGCTGGTGCTGCCTCAGGGCGAGCCAGGCCTGCTGGTTTCCCACCAAGTAGGCCTGGGGGCTAGGTCCCCCTTCCCCCAGTGTGCTTAGCAGTTGAGTCTGAACTGGGAATGCTCCAGGCCGAAGAGCAGGCTCCCAGCTCTCCAAGCTATTGTGGCTGATGCTGGGCAGTTCAGTGGTCTGGACCTCCTGACGAGCACCTGGTAAGGCAAGACTGGAAGGTAGGTGGCTGGTTGGGAAGTGCGGAAGCCAGAGCAATGGGGTGCGGGTCATACAAAGCTGTGAGGGTTGGGGAGTGACTCACAGCAACAAGAAGGCCTCCTGTGGACCGAAGACTTGGGCATGGGCTGCTGCAGCAGACACAGCAGGGCCCCATCCAGCCGCTGGAAGATGCCGAGCATAAGCAGAGTCTGGCGAAGATCTGGCGACAGGCTCCACTGTTCCTCTTCCAGCAATTCCCTGATCACGCCGAAGTCTTGCCTGAGCTGCAGCGCCCCCTGCAAACTGGATAACGAGGTACATTGTGGCCACCCGACCCCTCTGCCTTTACAGACTGCTCTGCCCCCTCTTCCTCCCTTTTCCCCACTTCCGTTCATCCCCCTGCCTCTGCCACCTTTTCTCCCCACCTGAACCGGATCCCATGGGCGAGGATATAGTTGAGCCAGGCATCCAGGATGGCTGTCAGCGCCTGACCAAGGGCAGGGGCCTGGGCTTGGGGTGGCAATCCCTGCAATCCTTGTAACACTGGCTCCAGTACAGTGCGGACCACTAATCCAGCATACTCACTAGGAACACTGGGCAGTTCTGGAGTAAGAGGAGAAAGAACAGGATATAATGGCTATGGAGATCCGTTGAACTCCTAAATGGAGTGTTTGAGAGAAGAGGGTAGGATTTAGGGAGGGGAGGGGAGGGCACACAGAAGATGAGGTCAAGGATGGGGCAGTGCAGTGGAGCCAGGATTTGAAGGGGCTGGGACAATATTTCCCCTCCCCACCCCCCTCAGAAAGCTAGAATGAGGAGTTACCAGAACAAAGACGAAGCCGCCAGTATCGACCCTGTGGCATGTAGCGCTTGAAGCCCTGTGTGGCTTGTTTATGACACTCTTGAAAAAAGAGACTTAGTGATTCTTCAGGCAGGAGCTGTGCGTATAGGGAGAAAGTAAGAGGGACTTGACAAATTATGATGATCTTCTAAATCTGATATCTTTGGCCTGGTGTCCATAAAGCCCCAGAATTATGTGCATGATTGTGTGAGCCTGCCCATTTTTTGAGAGAAGCCATATCTTTCATTGGGTTTTCTAAGAGGTCTGGACCCAAATTACGAACAATCGCCCTAGGATTACCCTGCTTTCCCCAGCTTGGTTCAGAAGACGAAAAACACTTGAGGTTAATTTTAATCTATGAGAACTTTGAGGAAAAAGAGTGACATACTCCAGAAAGAGCACATGCCAGAGAGAAGGGTCTGTGTGATCTGCAGATGGGCAGAGGGCAAGAGAAGAAAGGCAATTATAATAGTCTTCTGGTTATCACCTACAAAAGGAAGGCAGGAACTGGATGTTAACCAGGATCAATGACTATTTTAACATTCTGGGATTCAGAAAACTTTAGAATGTCCTTATGTTGAATATTCTTGACAGCTCACTCTAGCGCAATATAACTCATAAAGCAAAAAAGGTCCATATGTGAATTTGGTTTGTTTCTTTGGTTTGTTTGGTACGTTTTGGTTTTGGATGGACAGAGAACAGAGCAATAAAAAGGGTTTCTGTTCTAAAGCCCATCTTGGACGAGGGGAAACCCAACAAATGGAATTAATGGCAGCCGCTCCGTAAAGAAAAGGTAGATGTCAGGAACCCTGAAGAGAGGAAAGGTCTGAGGGGCCTGGGTTAGGGTGGAGCCTATGTGCCTCCTGGCACATCTGACAACCTATTTAAATCTAAACTCTTGCTCTTCTTCATCAAACTGAATCCCCTTATCCTTCCTTATTTATGTCAAGGAAATTAACCCCCCCCCCCTTTTTTTGAGTTGAGGTCTCATTCTGTCACACAGGCTGGAGTGCAGTGGCTAATCATGGCCTACTGCAGCCTCTACCTCCTGAGCTCAGGCAGTCCTTCTGCATCAGCCTCCTGAGAGGCTGAGATTACAGGCACAGGCTGGTTACTTTAAAAAAGTTTTTTCGTAAAGAAAAAAGGCCTCACTGTGTTGTCTAGGCTGGAAATTACCCTTTTGTCAGTGACATTTGTTAGGAACCTCTCACCCAACCCTTTGAGGGAATATAAGGTACGCAGTATGTGACAGTCTCTCCTCCATCACCTAGGACCTTACAGTCCACATGAAGAGAAAACTCACAGTGCCTGATTCTTCTTTGTCATCCCAGTGATGTATGTGCAGGAGCACCCAGAACAGACGCCTAGCAATACAAGCACCAGGCGGAGGAGCAAGGCCTATGAAGTGCTTGGCATGATGTGTGATTCACATGGTGAACACACTGTCCTTATCCTTTTTGCTCTGTTCTTACCACCACTACAAAGAGGCAAACCCTTCTCTTCATGGCTTCCCACCTCCCTTCCATCCTGCCCCTACAGCTAACTCAAACTTCTATCACCATCTTCACTCTTCCCCTTCTGCTCTGAGAATGGTTCCCCATCACTCATGAGACAAAGCCCAAATTCTCAGGGCTGGTGTTCAGTGCCCTCTACAATTTGATGCCAACTTGTTTATGCCTCCAAGCCCCCTGCCCCACCCTGCACATACCCACAAAAGGAACCTCGGCTCTGGTCAGGCCGTCTCTCTACTATTCCCCCAAGGATCTATGAACTGCCCACTTCCAGTAACCTTTTCCAATCCTCTGAAGCTGCCCAGCCACCAGCTCTAGGTGCAGGCCATGTACAGAGCCTTCTGTAAAACACATGGCCACCATAGCTTCCCCTACTCAGAGCTCATATGTCCATCGCTGTCTGCAGTACCATGATGAGCCTGCTCAGGGCATGTTGAATTTACTAAGTAGACAGCAGTAAATTGAGGTAGAAATGCCCAATAGGCAAATGCAGATGCTGGACCGGAACTCTGGGAGCCAGATGAGCTAAACTGTGGAGTTCATAGTACCAAGACACTGTGGGTGAGCAGGAATGTAGAGAGAAAAGATGCAAAGTCAAGGACTGAAATCCACATCCATGCAAAGAGGAGGATTTGGGGCAGGAGGAGAAAAAAAACCCAGAGATCCTCCTTAGCAGGAATAGCTAATGTGCAAACGGGGAAGACATTAAAATAGAATAATAATTTTATTCATAAATATAAAAATATATATTTTCCTTTTTTTTAGAGACAGGGTTTCACTCCATCACCCAGACTGAAGTGTAGTGGCACAATCATAGATCACTGCACCCACGAACTCCTGGGCTCAAGGGATCCTTCCCCTTTAGCCTTCTGAGTAGCTATAACTACAGGTACATGCCACCATGCCTGGCTAACTTTTTTGGTTTTTGGTAGAGACAGGGTCTCACTATGTTGTCCAGGCTAGTCTTGAACTCCTGGCCTTGTGATCCTTCCACTTCAGCTTCCTAAATAGCTGGGACTACCAGTTACTTTTTAAATTTTTATTTTCATAGAAACAGGGTCTTGCTTTGATGCCCAGGCTAGTCTCAAACTCCTGGCTTCAAGCAGTGCTCTCTAATTGGCCTCCCAAAACAATGGAATTATAGACATGAACCACTGTGCCCAGCCTTAGAAGAAAATCTTAAAAGAAACATCCAAGTATGGATGAAGGTTACCACTGTGAAACAGGAGCAAATCAAGTGCTTTTTTTTCCATTAGAAGCCTTATAAGATACTATTTTATTTCACTTTTTTTTGTTGTTGTTGGAGTCTCACTGTCACCCAGACTGGAGTGCAGTGGCACGCTCTCGGCACCGAAACCTTGACCTGCTGGGCTCCGACGATCTTTCCGCCTCAGCCTTCCAAGTTGCCAGAACTACAGGTACACGCTACTACTCCCGGATAATTTTTTAAAAATTTATTGTAGAGACGAGGTCTCGTCAAGTTGCCCGCATGCATCTTGAACCTGCCGGCTCAGGCAATCCACTCGCCTCGGCCTCCCAAAGTGCTGGGATTACAGGCTGAGCCACCAAGCCCGGCTTATTTCACGTTTTAAACGATAGACATGTATCACTTTAATAAAAACACAAACTTTAAAAAAAATTTTCTTTTTTTTTAAACACCAGTTTTGGGTGTCTACACATTTTTATTTTTATTTTTTTGAGTTGGAGTCTCACTCTGTTGCCCAGGCTGGAGTGCAGTGACACACTGTTCATGGCTACCGCAGCTTCGATCTGCTGGGCTCAGGCAATCCTGCCTCAGCCTTCTAAGTAGCTGGAACAACAGACATGCGCCACCATGCCCAGCTAATTTTTTTATTTATTGTAGAAACGAGGTCTCACCATATTGCCCAGGCTGGTCTCGAACCCATGGCCTCAGGCAATCCTCTCTTCTCAACCTCCCAAAGTGCTGGGATTATAGGTGTGAGGCAATGCTCCTGGCTGCTTACACATATTTTTTTAAAGTGAAAAGGCAGGATTTATTAAGAGTACGGAAAAGCTCCCACAGTGGGAGGGGACCCAAGGGGGTTGCCCATCTACACATTTTTAAAGAGGAGAAACATACTGAAAGCTGAGAAGTAAAGGGAAAGATGTAATCATCCTGATATTTCCCTATAAAATATACCTCAGTATCCAAACCATTAATGAGGGCAAGTTTTTCTTTTTTTTTTTTTGATTTGGAGTCTCACTCTGTCGCCCAGACTAGGGTGCAGTGGCCGCTCCTGGCCACCACAGCCTCGACCTGTTGGGCTCCGGTGATCCTTCCGCCTCAGCCTTCCAAGTAGCCGGAATTACAGGCATGCGCTACCACACCCGGCTGATTTTTTGATTTATTGTAGAGATGAGGTCTCGCTGCCCAGGCGGGTCTTGAACCCGCAGGCTCAGGCAATCCACTCACCTCAGCCTCCCAAAGGCGCGGGATTACAGGCTAAGCCACCGAGCCTGACAAGTTTTTCTTTACAGGAGTAATCCAACTAATAAATGAAGAAGGAATGATAGAATTGGAATGTCATCCCCTTACAACCTCTAATGAAATAGTGAATCTAGGCAGTGATTAGCCATTAGCATCACATAATAAGAATCTGTCATAATTCAGGGGAAGGTAGAGGATGTATAGATGAAATAAAACTAAGCTGGGTGCAGTGGCTCATGCCTGTAATCCCAGCACTTTGGGAGGTCAAGGCAGGAGGAATGCTTCAGCTCAGGAGTTCAAAACCAGCCTGGGCAACATAGCAAGACATCACCTCTACAAAAAAAAATTTGCTGGGTATGGTGGTGTGCACCTGTAGTACTACATACACAGGAGTATGAGGCAAAAGGATTGCCTGAGCCCAGGAGGTAGAGGCTGCAGTGAACCATAATCATGCCACTGCATTCTGGCCTGGGTGACAGAGTGAGTCTCTGTCTCTAAAAAATAAAATTAAATTAAAAAACTGACCATAAGTTGGTAATTCTAAAGACTTGTTGGTAGACATATGGGAGGTCCATTATACTCTTCTCTCTATAATTTGTGTCTGAAATTTTCCATAGTAAAAAGTTAAAGAGAACAAAAAAATCAACAGAGCAGGAAAAGATAAATTTAGCAGAGACTCCAAGGAGATTCCAAGTTACTGAGATGTTCCACTCTCTTCCTCCCCCGGAAGCTGGCACAGACAGGATCTTACAGCTGGCACTGTAAGCTGGCACGCCTCACCTGGATCCGTGCAGTCAGCTTCTGGATCTCTAGGCCCAGCTGCTGCTCCACCTCCAGAGCTAAGCTTCCCTCCAAGGCCAGGCTAGCCAGGGCTTCTGCCTCATGCAGTAGAGACTTTGGGTGGAAACAGGGCGTGAGGGCTCAGCCCATCCCAGGCTGCTTCCCTCCCACTCCCAAGCCACTCACAGGTAAGTCTTTTTGGATCAGGAGTAGGAAGGAACCTGGGATCCATGCTTCCAGGTGCTGCTGAACTCTACCCAAGAGCCAGAGCAAGGTGGTCTGCAGGGTGCAGAGCCCCAGGGCGATAGGTGCAGGACCTGGGGAGGGGAGCAGCAGAGTGAGTATATTAGGGGTCATGGAGTGCCTTTGGGAGGAGGCAGACTTCAGAACAGAGTGAAAGAAGAACGGGGATACTGTCAACTGTTCTCCTGTCCCCCACCCCCCATTTCCAGGCCCTTGTTTCACCTGGAGGCCGACAGATCAGTGATCTGGACTCTCGGAGGGCATCCAAGAAAGGAGGAAAGAGCTGTTGGAGAAGTTCAGCAGTAGGAGAGGATGTGGGAAGGCTGCTCTGGTCCCCAAGAGCTGATCCCAAGGCCTGGCAGAAACCTGAGGATGAGAGGGTATAGTCTGGTAGGGAAGGGGCAGCCCAGGACTTGTGGCACCCCCAATGCCCCTTTCTTCTCACCTTGGTCCCAGCTCCAGATCAGAGACTGATGAAGTAGGCTGTGACACAAAATAGCCAGCTCCTTCTCACACTCCTGAGGCAGGGATGCTAGTGGGAGAAATGACTATGGAACCTGAAAACAAGGCCTCTTTCCACAACCCCCGCCTTGAAGGCCCAGAAGCTATAATCTGAATACAGGGATGTTCATACTAAAGGGCCCACTTTTGCAGTCAGGCGGGCAGGTGAGTTGACAAGGGGCAAAGAAGAGACCCCAGCCTTCCCAAGCGTCCACCCAGGCCCATCACTCACCCTGACCCAGTGCCTGACTCAGCTGTTGTGCTGCTGCCTTGGGGTCCCTCCAGGGTCCCAGATTTAGGTTCAGACTCTGAGCACAAGCTGCCCACAGTAGGGTCCAATATTGGCTCCACAGGGCTCCAGCCCCTCCAAGCCCCTGTCCATGGCTTCCTGAACCCGCCACGCCCCCCACCAGGACAAACAGCCCTGGGAGCAGCTCCCGTTCCTCATGGCACCGCCTGCGGAGCTGGTCTCGCAACCCTGATCCCCTGAGCGCCTTTTCCAGCTGACTTGCCGCCTGGCAACCCCGCTCCCCCGTCAAGAGGCGGAGCACACGGGCCGGAGGGAAAGGGCGCGCAGCCCCTGGGACACGGCTCAAAACTTTCCCCTGCAGCCCATGGTAGGCGGGAAGTGCCAGCAGCAGCTCGGAGAGTTGGGATGCCAGGCCCGGGCTAGCGGGCGCCCGGCCCAGAGCGCGAAGCTGCATCTCTATGGCAGCATCTAGGCACTGGGCGGCTAGTCCGATGGGGCGCGCCAGGGGAAGCGGCGCCTGAGTCTCCTGAAAGCTGATTCGTACAGCTGCCCCTCGGGAGGGGTGCGGCTGCAGATCGCGGCACAGCTGGGGCAAGTGGCTAGGGCCGCGGGGC